ACCAAAATATGACCAGTGGGTTTGCTCATACCTATATAATATGTTTTCATATTAATATTTCTGTCTTTTAACAACCGAAATTCTGATGTTTCTTTTCACAATTTATGTAAAATATTATCTGGTCCAATATAGTTTCGTAGCCATATTAATGAGTCTTGATAATCTTAAGCACAAACAAAACAACCAATAAACAATAGCCATTACCTACATATTTTGTTCTTAATTTTAATATATTTAATTAATTATGTTTCATACCTTCATCATTCAAATCATTCAAATTAAATTCCTTATTGCCATCCGAATGTTCCCTTTTCGTACCACTTATTTTTGTGATGTCTTTTTTTATATTACAGAATTTATCGTATAGTTTTCCTCTATTGGGACTAATAATATTTCCCTCTTTACAGTATGGTATAAAATATAACTCTTCAGTTTTGGATGGAAATAATTCTTCAATTCCTTTAAGTTAGAAACATAATAAATATAATAATTTATTTTTAAAACTATTATAATACTCTCATACCCTTAGCTAATTCAATAAATCTTGTCCTATTTAAATTCTCATCGTTTTGAATTTGGTCCTTTATTATTACAGCTACCAATTTATTCCTCGTAGCACTGTTTAAACAATGTTTTGATTCATAAAACATCAAAACCATCTCACCATCTTGTTATTTTTTTTGGATGTTTTTTACAACTATGGATGAAGATGAACTGGTCATCGTTGTTACAACTGTATCTACAATAACAAAATCATTTAAATATATAATATAAAATACTTTTACATACCTAAATATTTAGGTATTCTGTATACAAAATAAGTTTGAATAGGTAATGTATTTGTATAAAAATATAATAGCATAAAATAAAATAATATTGTGGTTACCAGAAAATTTGTTGAGTTCAACTAAATTATTTAGTGATAATATTATTGAGCATTCATTACCGGTGTTAGTTACCAATGAAGTTTCTTTTACACTGTACAATTTACAGTATCGTTCGCAGTATCGTTATCAGTAATATATTCTATTTCATCTGATAGTTCAATACTTATGTTAGTCCAATCAATTAACGGATGTTGAGTTATAACTGGTGAGTTTTTCCCAGATAAATTCTATATTATAAAAAAATTAGTGGAATTACTTAAATATAAGATTATACGTATTCATACTTTTTCTATTTTTAATTCCTTCAAATGTCTTAAAAACTTAGAACCCTGGCCCATTTTGGGGAATAACTGTTCAACCATAGTTTCAGTAAGATCCAGCAAAACCATTTCATCTATTTCTTCCTCTTCATTTTGGTCTACAGCACATTTATAACACAAAGGAAATAATAACTTTTCACTTTTTTCCATTTTTATTTTAACTGGAAGTACAGGATGATAAAGATTTCTTGGAGGTAAAATTTTACATTTAATTAAACCAAACCATTTTTTATCATATTTTTTTGGATTAAATATTTTTACGGGATGTCCTTCAGGATAATAATCATAATAATTCACAGTTGGATATAAACTACATACATCAATATAACGCATTTTTGTGTTTTTTACCCTTAATTTTGTCGCATTTGTTCTGCCTCCAAAGAAAGCATCTCTAGGATTAATAGGGTCAGCTATATCAGCTTTTTTCATTTTTTTGTATGTAGTGCTATTTATCCAATCACATTCCCATTGCTCAACAAGATTATAACCACCTTTTTTTATTGCTGTACTTCTTTCAATTGTTTTTTGATACAAATCATCCATTGTTTCATGATTTATATTATTTATAGTTTCTCGATCTTTATAACATTTAGTACAACCGTGCCAAAAACATCCATGATATTGATAAACCGTTTTTGATTTATTATCAAATCCATCTACTTTAGCTCCTGCTATTATTATTTCGTTCCCATTTAATGCATGTGAGATATTTTTATTATTATCGATTGTTTTGAATAATTTTCATTTTTTTCTTTATCTAAAACAGCTATAGTATCTTCTAACAAATATTTTGATCTGTAAATACTCATACAAACACCTGCTATAGTTGTATAGCAAAAAGGATCAATGCTAGCTATATCCAAAAATTGTTTTCTTAATTCTAAACATCCTCTTCGTAAAATATCTACATCTGAATTACAGTAAGCCTCTAATTCTTCTTTAAAAATAAATATATAATTTTCATTAATTTTTTCATTATACCATTTTTCAAATTCTAGTTTATTCTCTGGTTTCATTGTTTCGAATCCATAATATTTTTTATCAGGTAATTTACCAATATAATTTTGATTTTCTACTGTATTAAAGAAATGCGGAAAGTAACCTTTTTTCAGTTCTTTGAGACCAAACGTTTTGGGAAAACTACTGAGAGGACCTTGAATAAAATTAGAACTATCTATTATTCTTATTTTTAAATATTTAATTTCTAATAACATTAATTTTGTACCATTATAAATTGTAAATGGTTTCATAGTGTTATCAACCAAGTATCTTATACTATAAAATGAAGAACAGCTGACTGATAATATTGGTTTCCAATGGAAAGGAAAACGCCGGCTATAGCGAACCCTTGGCGTAAAAAATGAAGCACTGCTCCGTTTCCCCAGCCCGCCGGCCATGTCCCGTCGATTCCTTATAGCGCGACCAATCGCGTACCTTCGCAGTGGCGGCGGTCGGTTTTAAAACGTTTTTCGTTATCACCTCTTTTCCTATCATTTCGCCGATTTTCGGAAAATTAGCTTTTCGCCCTTTTATATACTTAATTCGAAGCCACCGGTGTGCGGTTTATATTCGTGCAATGTCGATCAATAAATACACTCCCGACCGGACTTTTTTGCCGATTTTTTCCTTTTCTCCCACCGTTTCGTCTATTCGCACCCGTTTGTGTCCGAATCGAGTCTTTTTGAAGCCGTTTATATGCGCTTTTCCCCCAAAATCGGTTCGTTCGCCTCGCAATCGCGTTTGGAAATTACGCCGGCGACCGACCAGCCGTACGCGTATATATACATGTATATAGGTGTATAATTTAATTTTTCCTTATGATTTAATAATTATTAATGGAAAACGCTTTTCACACGCCCCGTTAAATATATATATGGGAGATGCGCGTATTACAAGCGAATTATATGCGATTACATCGATGTACATCGGAAATATCGGTTTACGTCGCTCCGTAGTCGCACGGCTTAATTGTTGATGTTTTCACTGTCTTTCATATCTCAAACTGTGTCCGAGTAGGTTAGGCGTTAGGCAGGAAACACGTAGGTCCCGGGTTCAAATCCGTCGTACGCCGTCCAGGCATTGAAACCGTCAATGCCATATGGTTTACACGGCCGCCCAAATCACGATTTTTTTTGCATTTTTTTTCACGTTATTTTTCATATAAATTAAATAATAATATAATAATACAGGAACATATCGTACATTATTATTATTTAAAGTCATTATCATTTTATATCACACAATAAATAGGTACATATTATATTTGTTTTATTAGGAATTATTAAAATTGCATATTTTTTAAAATTTCCATGATTGTTATATAAATATAGTTTGTATTTTATTTCGGTTTGCCTTGAAAGTTAATCTTGATTTTGACTTGAGAGTTGAGATGACTGACTTGCTAGACACTCCAACACGGTTTTTGACTTTACACTTTTTACATAAGAAAAGGCACCGGACATGCGAAGGCACATACCACTCTATGTGATATACCTACTATATAGGTGATAGACGGATTGCTCATTTTAGTTTCGTCTTAAACGGTGATGATTGACTTGATAGACACTTTAACAAATAACATGCAGGTTTTTGCAATTTTTTTTTAAATTAATATATATACACTATAGGTACACATGTTTATATGTATTGGTTAATATAATAGTATGTATCTAACTATCTACCTATATGTTAATATTTTTTAGGAATTATAATTGCACATTTCTCAAAATGTTCATTGTTATATTATATCATCACACAATAAATACATATCATATTTGTTTGTATGTATATAGTTTGAATTTTTCGTAAATAATTTCGTAAGTTGTGTGATAGGGTTTTCACTTATAGCCGCTTGATGTCGTGTCTGCAATCCACCGCAGGTGGATTGCCTACCTGATTTGCTGTAGCACATAGTCCGCGATCCGACGAAGTCGGATTGCCTACCTAAGTGGCTAACTTGAAAGTTAATAGATTTTGACTTGAGATGACTGACTTGCTAGAAACTCCAACACGGTTTTCGACTTTACACTTTTTACATAAGATAAAGCACCGGTCATGCTACGGCACATACCACTCTATGTGCAGGTATACTCTATATAGGTGATCCTGGAGATCGTATCCAGCCTATCCATTTACAACGTTTGGGACGGATTGCTAGACACTCAAACTTTTAACATTCCCGCCAAAGCGTCTAGCCTTATCTCCAATCCATATCACTAATCCTTATCACAAATCCTAAACTTTCGTCTTACAACCTTTGTGACTTTTATAATTCATTGTCTCCAAAATCGGTACCCACTCTCAGCGATTCCAACGGGCCCCGAGTTATACTTAGAGCTAGTTTCAATATAAATTGTGAATCGTATCCTTTTGCATAATGTGCTATAAATGTATAACCCCTATATTCCTCAGATATTACTTGTTTACAAAATTCTTCATTTGTATCAAACATAATTTTATTTCCTTCAAAATCATGAGCAATTATTTTATTTGCGATATGAGTTCCTGTTTCTTGTTGAGCTTCATAATCAAAAAACAAATATTTTTCTGTATAAGAACATTGATATGGTTTATTTGTACCTCCACATTTTGTACATCCTACTAAGCATTTACCTCCTTTTGCTAATCTACTTTGCATATAACATTGATGTTCATTTATTTTCACTTCTTCTAGACAATTTCTACATTTACTATAACCACAATTATGTTCCCTATCTCTAAACAATATTCTATTACAATCAATACATTTATATACATAGGCACATACATATTCGTGATTATCTAAACATTCTTGATTATAACAATATCTATTACATTTTTCACAATATATTTTATTTTTTGTACTAATTGAATGTTCAAATCTCTCACCATAATATGTGCACAATTTACATATATTTTTATTTTTATTTTTACCACATTTATGTTTATCTTTATTTTGATATGGTTTATCGCACTTATTACAATAATAACACGATCCGTAGAAAGCTTTAGCGGATTTAATAACATCAAAATGATTACCATTTTTATACAAATAAATTTTAGTTTCTTTATCCTCACCCTTATAAATTAAAGTATTTAAATTTTCAGCACAAATAACATTTATTTGAATATCTAGTGCAAGTTCCACATTCTTAATATCATTCAATGTAAATCCTTATTCGTTATATTCTGGTAACATATTACATAATTCTAAAGCTAAATCTTTTTGAATTTTTCTACCTATCTTCAACTGTTTAATTTTATTGGGGTCTAATTCATGACCTAAAATATTGTTTGTTTCAGTAGATAATGCAACAACAATAGCTCTCGGACAACATAAATTATCATCGTTATTAATCTCAATAATACTTTTTTTTGTTTTTATATTTTCTGATAAATTAATTATTTTAGTTCTCCTTGAACCTCTTGGTATTTTCACTAATTGAACTTGAAAAGTAGTTTCTGTTATATCAATTGTTTCAGCTGAAGTTAATATGTTAACAATAATTGATTTTAAGTTTGTTAAAAAATTGTCAGATTTCATACCAGTAGATATAGTATTGTTTAAATTTGGATTCATCACTATAATATTTATTTGATCACCTTTTTCATAACTTGAATTTTTTTGGACAAGTTTTAACATGGAATCTAGAGCTTTATGTACATAATCAATTTTGTATTTTGCATTACACAGCTTTAGATCTTTTATTAAAGCTTCTCTAAACCGAATTTTATATTCAGCTTCATGTATTTTAAATTTCTTTTGGATTTGTTTATTCATTTGAATTATATCTATCAAATCATAAACATCTGATGTTTTTTCTAATGAACTATTAAAATAATTTTCTTCAGTGAAAATTGTTTTTTCTAACTTCTGAAATGGATTATTGTTTAATGAACTATTAAAAACTTCATCCTTGAATATATCTTCTTGAAATTTACGAAAAGGTTGTTGCTTTCTTGTTAATTTAATTTTTTTTATTAAACATTCTTTATTAAGTTTGTAAATTTGTTTTATATCAAAACTTCTAGCTATTGACTTAAGCTCAGAAGTTGTTAAATCGCGAATTGTATGACCTCTCCTAATTCTTAATATAAGATCATTTTTTTAAGGGTACTATAACCCTTAAGTTTAGCCTCTTTTGCTATTAACTTAAGCTCAGAGACTTTCATATTTTCTAATATGCTTATAGAATTTATATTTGCCATTATTTTTATTATTTATTATATTTTTAATTTTTAAATTAATTTTTTCAATTTCTTTTTAATACATTTTGCAATTAAATATGCTATTTCGATTTTTATTTTTGATAGAACAATTCTATTAAAAAATGTTTTGGTGCATTTCAGATTTTTGAAAAATATTTTAAGTAATTATTGCATTTAAATGTCACATGTGCCGAAGTCCCCCATAGGAAAATATTTTTAGTATTTTTTGCATTTCAATTTCTATGAAAATTATTTTTAGTATTTTTGCATTTCAGATTTTTTGAAAAATATTTTAATAATTATTGCGTTTCACGATTTGCAAAATAATTAAAGGAATATTGCGTTTCAATTTCTATGAAAAAATATTTTAGGAAATATTGCGTTTCAATTTCTATGAAAAAATATTTTAATAATTATTGCGTTTCACGATTTGCAAAATATTTTAATAATTATTGCGTTTCACGATTTGCAAAATAATTTAAGGAATTTTGCATTTAAAATGAAAGTGTACCATAGTGACCATATACTAAAGAATTTTGCATTTCAATTTCTATGAAAATATTTTAATAATTATTGCGTTTCACGATTTGCAAAATAATTAAAAGAATTTTGCAATGTACCATAGTGACCCATATACTACTTACAGGTATATGAATAATTATTTATGTTACGTGATATTTAACAAAATATATTTATAGGCTTGTATTATTGGTGCAAAAACAAAAAAAGTTATATTTTGTGGAGTCAGAAACAAATATTGTTGTATATGTCAATTAGCTGAAAACCGTGACGAAATAGCACAGGATCATGTATGTTTCAAAAATTGGAATTCGGCCTCAACCGCGATGGAAGCCGATATTAAAGTTAGGGTTCAAGCAAAGTCTGCATATGCATAATGTTATATATTCTCAGTTAATAGGTAAGTGACTTTATTTTTATTTTTTACATAAATATTTTCATTTACTTATACGTGGTATTATTGAATATATTATAAAAAAGGAGATGGTGACAGTAGTATTATGAAACGTTTAAGATTGGAAAAGCCATATGGTACAAATGTTGTTATAAAAAAAGTAGAATGTACTAATCATTTACTACGTAACTACATAAATCGTCTTAGAGATATAAGTGGGAAAAGAAAAAATGATAAAGGAGATGTCATACCTGGTTGTTATCGGAAAGTGGTTCATGATCGCTTACTTAGGCTTCGGTATGCTGTCACTGAAGCGATAAAATATAGAAGACTTGAACAAACAGATCGCACATATGAAGCAACACTGACTTTACTCAAAGCAGATATAACAAACGGACCTAATCATGTTTTCGGAGACCACACTAAATGCCAATCGTATTTTTGTGAGGGTCAAAAGAAAGGTATGTAATTTTTATTTGTGTACTGTATGTTTGTATGACATTTATAGTTTATAGAATAAAAACTTAAAAATAACTATAAATAACTCATAATATATAAATTTCAAGTTAATAGTTTTTGAATAACGACAAAATAAGAAAATCGTTGTATAAGAATTAGTTAATTTACGAGTGAATATATACCTAATATGTAACTTCAAACGCACGTAAAAATTAACTTGACTTTCCAGTAAACTTATTTGTATTATATTTTGTTAAATGTAGGAAAACTTAAGGGGAATTTTTTAATATATTTTTAAAACTTAGATATAAATAGAAAAATTGTTATATATTCTAACCTGAAAAAATGCCAATTTTCGTGATATTGATAAATTTTATCAACATTTTAACTTTAGGCGCTCATAAAAAATTACTGTAGACGTATGCTCGGCTACGTCTACCTAACCTATGCTAGGTACCTTCAATATCCGTGCAAGTTTATTCATTAATTTGTGCAATTTTTTTTGTTTTTTTTTTCCCCAAAGAGTTTTTACAGTAGGTACCTGTATTTAAAATAATAAAACCTTCAATGTTTGTATAGGCAACGTATATAATATGGTTGCGCTAACCAACGGTCAAATAACGGTTGATGTATATATAGCTTAAATAATATAGAGTTGTGAAATATACTAAAAGAGCAAACTCTGCTCGTTGACAACAATGGTTTTGAATTATTCTGTTTGTCGGGAAAACGTCACACAACACAGAGAATTTATACTGAACCATAAGGTATTATTCCGATGTGTACAATAGTTAAGACGTATGCAGTCTACAACACTGCAGTATATGACGTATGGTACACATTTTTGTACAAGAATTGAATAGTCACAAATAAAATATCTTATTATATTTTAAGTCCTTAAATTAATTTTGATTTATTTTATAAAAATGTTGTTTTCAATTCTAGCAACTCTTTTGTCGAATACCTCGGTTGTAGGAACACATAAATAATTTCTATTTGAAACGAAATTGAATTTTTTGCTATGTCGTTTGACAACCAGGACAATCAGTTTGTAGGGGTTTCCTCTCTTTTTAATGCATCTTTTTCTCGTATACATTACAAACGTCCATTATGTAATATACATTTTATTTACAAAGTTTTGTTGTTTTATTTGACCAAATTCCAATTAAAGCACAACTATGAATTAAATGTTATTGTTATAATTCGTACGAATTATTTATTGCAACTGACTTTTGAGTAAATATAACTTAAACTCAATATTTTTCAACATTGTGACATTTTCAAGTATACATATAATATATGTATGTTATTCTTATGTAGAACTTTATAATGTTATTGAGATAGTTTGTTATATTTGAAGACTACTTGGGTAATAGGTACATATTGTTGACTATTGTTTGCGGTATTATATATATACGTTACACAATAATTATTATAATATTTTGTGTCTCATTAGCTTAGTCGGTTAATGATTTCAAATTTTCACCAACGGATACAATAAACATCGATAATTGATAGTGGATAGTATTTTTACGAGTTATTATAAACACTGATTTAGATATATGATTTAATTATGTAAGCAGATAATTGTTTTCTTATGTCATTTTTATCCATTAAATTATTGTCATACAAATATTAAGTATTCATAATCACATCTAAACATATAAATTGGAAATTGTATAAAGGTTCCTCTGCTATTACGCGTTATTGTAACTTTTGAATATTTTATTATGTGTTTAATCCCAAAATAAGCCACCTGGAATTCAATAGAACCCAAAAGTTATTTTTCCGCAGCATAAAAAATTAACATCAGTCTTATAATTTTAACACAAATAATAAGTGTTACTAATAATGTTTAATTTTACTTAGTTGATTCTCACCAATTTCATAATTAATAATTTATGATTTATTCCACCCGTTAAAGAAATAATAAATAAATATATATGTTTCGTAACTGATAAGCCAATTCTCCAATCCAGCAAAAGAAGTATAAAGTAATTTTCCTTCCCTTCAAATACAGTTTGTAAGTCTTAGATTATAAGCCTTAGTTTGCAAATCAGTAGACAGTTTAAACTGTAACTAAAATTAACAAAGGCTGATTTTATATTATGTATATATTTTTCTTCTTTAGAAGTTTAAAAAAAACTCTATTAGTTTTAATAATTCAACCCCCTGGCTATAAAATTACCCACAATACCTCCCTAAAAGAAACGATTTAAATATTTTAGATCAACTGATAATATTCCTCCACAGTAAGGGTGACATCTCACCAGCTTACTGAGAGGTACTTTTTAAAAATCTCATACTAATTCATAAAAATATAATATGGGAGTGCGAAATCAAATATAATTGAGGGGTAAAATCTCACTAGCTCCCTTCCTTCGTTATATTTATAATCATTAAATTACCAGTAGAAAAGAAATGGTGGGGTATTGTTGGTCATATACACATGGCGTATAGGTATACTAATGAATAAAAAACATTATATTCTCATATAAAGTGAGGTACTGGGATGATGTGTTGTTCACTTAGATGTTAATTTACATGCTAAGAGGACATTTTGATCAAAAAGTTACCATCAAGATCCTCTTTTTTTGAGTTGATTATTTTTTGTTATTGAATAATCAGATTAATAAAGTAATGAAATATAAATAAGGTTTTGAATTGGTTGTTTTAATTAATTAACTCTGACATTCCACTAATATCTTATAAGCACCGACTTGGTCTATCAACGTGATATTGTACATGCAAATTTTATAGAAAATATTTTTCAATAATAATAATAATTACAAATAAGACAAATAAAAGTCGTTGTTAAAAACTAGTAAAATATACCTCATTATTAAAGATCAGATGAAGGTATGTGCACTGAATCACGAAATGTATTCTTAAAAATAAAGAAAGTAAGTTACCGCTCTGCTGTACAGTTATAGGTGTCGAGTGTACCTCGTCATTAAATAAATGATAAATCATTGTATTCGAAGAAGGATTCCAAGCCAAGTTTTTCTGTCAACCTATATCATTATAAACCAAAAAGAATATATTTTAATGATGTTTGTATAATGGGTATTGCTTTTATAGAAATGTATTTTACTATCAGTGATAGTGTGGTGCAACAGTAGGTAGAATTAATGTTCACCAAAAGTATTACATTTATACAATAATTAACAACTAGCTAATCCCGAGTACTAAAAAATGACAATACTCTTAAACAAATTGTCATTGGTCAACTTCATTTGGGTGTAATTCTTTGTAATTGCAGCCACCCTAGTAGTCAGTACGTCAGATAGCGGATAGACAGCATAGTTTTAAGCTGACAATCCTCAGGTGGATTCCGGACACGGCCTAAGCGGCTATAAGTGAAACTAACCTTGGTAGGCAATGTGCGAAAATTTGATATTTGCTTGAATCTGATCTGCCCGATTAATCAATGGCAATCCATACACAAAAAAAATTCTGATATCTACTATTACTATTATAATCTGCAATCAATAGCAACCATTTATAAACAAATAAAAGTTTCAATTTCACCGTCAGTCTCAATTCTCAAATTCATTTTCTGAACACCTCTAATTTACCTTTATAATTTTTCTCAACAAATCTATTTACCAAATTTCATCAAAATCGGTTCAGTGATTTAGGCATGAAAGGGATACTTATTAAATTTTATTATATTATTTTTATAAGCTATCGAGGCAATACTGACTTGTAGAACAGTGTGAATAGGTTCGTGGTAAAAAATTACAATAGCATAAAATAAATCTAAGTGTTTCGAAAATGTTGTTAATTTTATAACATTTAATAATATAGAAAGTCCCCACTCATAATATTTTTGAATTACAATAAAATAACTAAATCGTTCTTCTTCATTTAAATATCGAATATCATCCAACTTCAATTAATGTCTAAAAAAAAATTGTATATTTTTTAGTTTTTTAGTTTCAGAAAGAACTTTTTATGAGGAATATTGTCGTAAATTTTATTCTAGGGTATAGATATTGAAGATTTTATTAATTTTTAAATTGTTTTCACACTTTTGTGATTTTGACGAATTTTGTCTACATTTAAACTTCAAAAAGGTTCTTACAAAAACATCGTGCATAATATGTATTTTTAATATTTTTTAATATATATAATAACAACCTACAAGGAATCTAGAATTACATTTTCAAGCTTTTTCACTGAGCACGAAAATCAATATTTATGGAAAAAAACATTAAGAAATATGAAATGTCTATAAATAGCTCAATAAGATTCATATATATTAAAAGTTATAACATGTATACAAAACGCAAACATAAATATTTGTTTTTTGTTATTTTCCAATTCTTAAGTAAAGTACATTAACTATTAAATAGGGTAAATATTGGGTATATTAATTGGTTATTGTTTAGATTATAGATATATATATATAGGGAAAACGGATTGCCTATTTTATCCTAGAAAAAAAGTGTTAACAGGTAATAATATAATAATGAATTGGAAAAAAATATTGTAATTCCAAAGCATATAAAATGCTTAGTTTTTGATTTTGAGTGGAGCGATAAATGTATTGATTTTACAACGATATGTGTTTTTTTTTAATTTGTAATTAATTTTTTATTTTTGTGTTTGTCAAAACTTTTTACTACAGTAAAAATGACTAGTTTTTCTTCAACGTATCTTTTCTGATAGGAAAGTGAATCTAGTTTGAACTTTAGGAAGTGTAAAGTAAAAAAATTCAAAGTAGTTTTCAAAAGCGACGTGAAAAACAAAAGAAAAATTAAGAAAAAACTGGAATTTGTACGAAAAATCTGTTTTACAACATTTGATATTCACTCGATTTCTCATGTAACGATTTTCTTATTTTTTTGTTATTAAAAAACGAATGACCGTAGATACTTGAAAATTTCACTGAATATTTATATTAGCATTTTCAATACACATAAAATTTTGAAAATAACTTTACTCTTTTTGAGCTGTTTACGGAAATCGTCAGTTTTTAGTTTTTTTATTTTTTTTTTCTATAGA